TAATAATAATAATAATAATAATAATAATAATAATAATAATAATAATAATAATAATGACATTAATTACATTGGAAAAGGCAAAAGCATCACTTGAAAAAGGAACAAAGAAAAAATTGTCTCAGCGGGGACTTCCCTGGGGTTGCTAGGCCAATAGTTATTACATCTTGGTGATTAATCACTATCTCATGTGCGCCAAAAAAAAAAAGGTTTGTACTTCGTGAGACTAACCAATTAGACGCAGCAAGGGCAATTTTTACATATAACATCGGGAAAAGAATATGATCAAAAAGAAAGATTGAAAGTCATTATTATATGCTTATTAGAGTGATTTTTTATACTAATATTTTATATCGACCTAGAAATTTCCTTTCAACCTTGAAATAAAATTGATTTTTTTATTTTATTTTCTAGTACCTAGTAAGGAAGAGGTGGATAAAAGGACATAAATTGATAGCTGATGGAGCAAAGAAAAGTCTTGCTAACTATATATTTTTGCTAGATGCTACATAGTATTTATTCTTTAATTATTTTACCAATTTACGATTATAGATTTATGTCTACGTGTGTGTCATGTGTGTGGTCGATAAGCATTTTTTAAAGTTGGTACCATCAACTTTGACAACCGTGGGATGGGCCAATTTGTTATACCTTTCAACGAAGATTAAATTCTTATTTTGGTCACTCAACACTCGAATGAGTTTTGTAATTTAAGAAATTTTTTATTTAGTTTTGGATATTTAGCATTTTGACTCTAATTTGGTTTTTATTTTAAAATTTTACTAACTTTCACACGTTACTTGACAGAAAAATATTTTGACACGTAAAATTTACAGCATAGCAAAAACTATGATATGACAAATTCGCCCTCATAACTTCATCTGCAACCTACCCGTTTCTTTCTCTCTCCTCTGTTGGAACCAAACCTCTACCCACCCTCTCCGCCTCTCCTCCACCTAACAAGAGTCATTTTCTTCCTTTCGTCCTCTTCTCCGCTTCTCCCCTTTCTCTTCTCCTCCTTTACTACTATAGATGCCACGAAGGTAAAGGAATGCAGATCTCCGTCACGCAAGGAACCTAAATCTAGGTGCTTCACCATTACGTGGGGATTGAGGGAGGAACCCAAATCTGAATTCCTTGCCCTTGTGCTGTGATTATAGACTCATAAGTTTTCCTCTTCGGTGACTTGTTCGCTAAGGTTCCAAGATCTACCATGCTAAGATCTGATTATCATGGATCTCCCTTCTCTCTCCTTCCCCTTGTTTTCGCACGCCTCACCATGACCTTCTCCCATGAAGAGAGCACCGGGAATTGATAAAATGTTGCAGATATGGATTTGGATAGGTTTGGGTTTGGGTTTGGGTTTTTTAAGGTTTTTTTTTTTTTTTTTTTTCTAGTTTGCAGACATGGATTTTGGATGATTTGGATTTTTTTTCTTATTTTGTCTCTCAGTTGTCTTTCTTACAATTCCTCTTAAAGAAATAATCCAGACCTGTATTAAGGAAATTTTGTTTTGTCTTCAATTTCAAGTTAGTTGAATGATTTTTTTTTTTTTTTTTTGGTAGAAGGAGAGAATATAAGATAAAGGATTAGCAAGTTGGTACAGACCTGGGAATTGGGTTCCCTATAATATCAGAGTACAGTAGCATTCTAGTATCAGTAGTACATTGATCCAAAATAACAAAAGGACCGGTAAGACTACATCTTGCTTTAGCTAGATTGTCAGCGACCATGTTCGCGTCACGATATATGTGCTTAATTTGCACGTCTTGGAGCTGAGACACCAACATCCTGCAATCATCCAGTAAAGCTGCAAGTGAGTGGAATTGATAACTATTTGAATTTAGTAAAATATGGGCAACTCTAGAGTCAGTTTCAACAATAATTTTTGTGAAGCCCCTATCCACAGCCAGTTTCAATCCATCTCTAATGGCCCAAAGCTTAGCTGCAAGAGCAGTAGAATAACCAACATTCCGCATAAAACTGAGCAGCCAGTTACCCAAATGATCCCTAAAAACCCCTCCAGCCCCCGTTTGGCCAGGATTAGATAAAGCAGAGCCATCAGTATTTAATTTGATGTACCCTTCTGGAAGAGGGGACCAATTAACAAGAATGCCAATTAACAAGAATGGTCTCCTTGTTAAGATTTCCCACATGCGTATTACAAGCAAGCTGAAATTCTCTAGCCTTGGAGTAAATGAACTCTTGGGCTTGCTGAATAGAAAAAGAAATCCCTTTGTGAACTCTCTGATTTTCTGAAGAACCATAATGCCCAGATGGTGGTAGCAAATATGGTACTCCATTTAATTCCCTCCTCATCAGAATGGTTGCAGCAATTTTTTTCCAACCATTTTGTAAAACACAAATCTTGAGCGATAACATTGAGTTGGTCAGGAGTGATGACAGTCCAAAGAAGATTAGAGAAAGAACATTCTCGAAAGAGATGGTCAAGAGTTTCAGGAGCATCTCTGCATAAAGCACATAAATTAGAGTCATCAACCCCCAACGATATAGAGTATCTCTAGTTAGAAGCCTTTCATGTCTCAGTTGCCAAATAAAATGTTGAATCCTTGGCAAAGTGCAAAGGGACCATACCCAAGTCCAAGAGTCCTTTTGACTAAATGAAATACTTTTAGCCACACAATAGGCAGACTTAACTTGAGAGAGACCATTAGGTGAAGGACCCCAAGAATAACCATCCTGCCCTAGAGCAACAATTGGCATAGGGATAGCAATGATTTGCTATTTAAGTGCAAATGGAAGAGAACAAGCAATCTTTTCCCACTTCCACTGACCGGAAGGGAGGAAGACATCCTTAATTTTTTGGTTAAGGCTATTAGGAGTAAAAGGACCAAACAACAAATCTGTGAGAGGTCTATTACCAACCCAAATATCAGTCCAAAAAAATACCTTGTCACCCGAATGTGGAATCCATTTAACACCCTTCATAAGGATGTGATTACCTTTGGCAATGTTATGCATGACAGGGGATGCTTTATTGAAATTACTTTTAAGGTCTTGAATTTTATATTTCTCACATCCGAGATCATTCTCCATTGAACTTTAGCCATCAAAGCTTGGTTAGCTTCTTTAGAGGAGCGTAAGCCAAGACCACCCAATTTCTTAGGTTGAGTAATTCTATCCCAAGAAACAAGATGGGTTTTCCTTTTCTCACCAGTTGACCCCCAAATAAATTGCCTGGCAAGGCTGTCCAACTCCTTACGGATAGACTTGGGTAGGTAAGCACCCTGCATATAATAGTTAGGAATGGTAGATAAAATCGAGGAGGCAAGTGTGACTCTACCAGCTCTGGACAGCATACTAGCTTTCCAACCAGTTAACTTGCTTCTCACTTTGTCGACAATGAAGGGGCAATCAGCTTTAGATAATCTTTTGGGGGAAATAGGAAACCTGAAATATTTACCAAGCGAATGGGTTTCAGGGATATTAAGCTTGGCACAAATGTTGAGTTTAGTCTCAATAGGCACATTTTGGGAGAAAAGAATCTTTGATTTGCTTAGGTTGATCTTTTGTCCAGATCTTTGACAAAAGAAAGCTAGCAAGTTTTCAAGATATGTGGCATTACTCAAACTAGCTTTACCAATGAAAATTAAATCATCAGCAAAGCAGAGATGAGAGATAAAGGGACCACATTTCCCCAATTTAGTCCCTTTCCATCCTCCCATATTAGAATCACCTTGCAGTTTCATAGAGAGGAACTCGACACAAAGCATGAATAAATAAGGAGAAAGTGGATCCCCTTATCGGAGACCCTTAGAAGGTTCGAAGCTATTAGAAGTTCTCCCATTAATCACAATAGCAAAATTAGTCGAAGAAAGACATGACATGATAATGGAAATCAAAATAGGTGGAAAATTAAAGAATATGAGAGCTTCTCTAACAAAGCTCCATTCTAACCTATCATAGGACTTTCCCAAATCAAGTTTGATAATCATATCACCTATTCTACCTCTTTTTTTAGAAAAGCTATAGACAAATTCCCTTAGGATGAGAACATTGTCGATCCCCTTCCTACCAGGAATGAAGCTAGCTTGAAGAAGGGAGATGAGATCACCTATGAGACTACGCAACCGAAGAACAATAAGCTTAGTAACAATTTTATAAGCCACATCGCATAATCCTATCGGTCGAAATTGAGAAATAGATTCAGGATTTTGGACTTTGGGAACAAGAGCAATAAGGCTAGCATTCCAAGCTTCCGAGATAATACCCATGGAAAAAACTAATCTAATTTCATGATATAATTGTCCTTAATTAAATCCTAGAATTGCTAGAAAAAAGCAACATGGAGGCCATATGGGCCTGGGGCTTTCCAAGGCCCCATAGACTTAATGGTAGCCCAAATTTCAGTATCGGTAGGAAGAGAAGAAAGACTTCCCCACTTACTGTCATCAATTCTAGGGCCACTAGTGATACAATCAAAAGAATCATGCTGAGA